ATATTGGTCACGGACCTGACATGTCGACCCAATGACCCAGTTCAACCGTGCCAGTGCATGTTGTCGTCTGCAAATAACACGCTCAATACCAGCAAAAAACCGGGGATCAACAACCGCAGTCCGAGAGGCAGCCTCTTTGGCCTTCAGATCCGCAACACGATTACACAGGATTTGCTGCCTAGTCAGCCCAAAGCTCTGTGCCAGCTCCTCTGTAATATCACATTCCGCAAGATCATCGCAAGTGTGTGACTTCTGCCACACAAGGACAATCGGATCGGAATGGAGCTGTCTCCTTGCGCGCCACAAATCTTGCAAAATCCTCCACCAAGGAAAAAGACTCCAAGTGGTTTCAACACGACCAGTGCACTGCAACTGCTGGAACATCTCCACAATCGTAAGGCTGTCAGTGTAAATGCAGACCGGGCCGCAAGAAATGGCAACTGCACGCATAATTGCATAAAGTTCCGCAGTATAAGATGTCAACTGGAAATGACATACAGGCCCCTGATCAATGCAAGTCATATCACCCGTCACGACTGCATATCCAGCAGCACATAGCCAGAATGACTTTTGCATAAGAACAGAACCGTCTGTCCAGAGGAGGCAGCGTGGAGTCAAAGCGTTGCACAGCGGACACATCCCATCTAGTGAGGCCGAGCCTGTGATTTGCAACCTCAACTGGATGCTCGAAAATGCCGAGATTCCTATAATTAGGACCGAACTCATGGGCAATGCATGCTTGTAGATCGGGAGGACAGGCCAAACAATCACACACAACATGGGACAACGACTCTTTCACCTGGCCACAAAAACGGCAATCCGAAGTTTCACTAAAGCCTGCAGCGAATCTCCTATCATTCGTAATGGTGCAACCGACCAATTGAGAATCAACATGTGGTTGCAACCAAGAGCAAGAGTCCTCCGGTTTTGCATGACAAGTCTTGAACAGTGTCGATAGATGGAAATCGAGAAGGCCAGTAGGCTTAAAAATGTCCTTCCTGAATTTAGAACCTGCCGTTTCATAGCAAGCTTGCCTACCCATGACATGTAAGAAACCCTTAAGGTCCTTCGGATGAACATCCAAAACAGAGAAACTCTGGCGCCCAATACGGATTGAGAGATCCGGAAAAAGGGCAAGGTGGAAAATGTTCAAAGCTTTCTGAAAATGTGCAAGAAGGCTTTGCTGACACTGCATCATCTTATCGTAGTGGGTGCGAAACACCTGAATACAACAAGGATATGCGTGAACAAAACGCCACATGTTCCGCACAGCGCAATATGCTCGTGCAATGGACGGTTCAACGAGGCATGGCTGTGACAAGAAACAAAAAACGAACATCTTGGACCGCCAATGCGGGCGATTGTGCCAGAGAGCCGTTGCAATGACCCCTTGGACCTTATGAAGGGCACTCTTGGGCATGTCAGAGATTTCAGAAGCGAAAGAACACTGGGGAATAACTTTCGTAGCAATGAGATGGGCTTTACACTTGATGGAAAGAGGAAGAGCGGCAATGTTCCGCACATCATTACAAATTTTCTCCGTCTTACTGTCAGGAAAAAGCATACACTTCCGTTTGGCTGTATATAATTTGGCACCTAACACATCAAGTTCCAAAACAAGTGGAATGTCTGGAAACAAGGCTTTAGCAACTCGCCTGGCCTCAGTTGTGGTTGCCCAAAGGGAGCTCTTATCTGCATTCAACTTCTGGCCAATGAGAAGACCCCACTGCTGTGTGACTTCAAGCGCAGTCCGCAGGTATTGGGCATGAGTAAGCCGCACCCAAAGGTACGAATCATCTATGAAGGCCTTACACGCAACATGGGGGATCAAGGACATAAACCGCGCCCAAACTGCCATATGTACATTGATAGCTAGGAGTGAGAGACTACAACCCTTGCGCAACCCCATTGGCACATGTGAGGGGTTTAGAGGAGGTCCACCCCCTGTAAGCGACGTGTTTCTTCAAGCCTTGATAAATCTGCAGAAAAGCATTGGCAATGGCACGGGGCAACCCAAGTGCTAAGAACAGTGCAGCCGTGTACTGTGGGACAAGGCGGTCGAAACACTTAGACTGGTCCAACTTAATCCCAATCAAAGGATCATCCAGAGCGTATGACTTGTCCACTTCAAGTCTGAGGCCAACACTAATGTCTGTCATTGAACGTCCCTGGATACCCCCACTCAACTGGCGGGGAAGCGATACAGTCTGCCACTGTTGCAGCTGTTTAAACCGAGTGCCGGTATACGCGAGCAGCAACGGGGGAAGCACTGTGATTAAACGCTTATTCAAGGGTGTGGAGGGGCCAGGCTTATTGAGAATAGCCTGCTTAGCACGAACTAGCACATCCGGAATGGAAAAATTACAATCATCTTCCAAGGCACTAAAGAAATTTGCAATAGCATCGCAGCAACACACAGGAAGGCGTTGCAAGTCACTCGTGCGCCAGCCATCCATGCCGGGTGCGGCATCAGGCTTGCGGCGTTGAATCGCGTCGAAAATGTCACTTCCCATGAGGGGAGGTAAGACAAAGGACTCGATGTTATGATCAAGGTAGGGCCAAATAACTCGAAGCATCTGCGTTGGGTCATGCTGGAGGACATTGGCACTAAAAACATCATCCCATGTGTTGGTGATGCAAGCGATGGCATCAGGAGGATGAAAAACAATATTGCCCTGGGGGTCCAGAACAAGATTTGTAGGTTCCTCAGAAGCTTTATTCTTCAAGTGTCTATAGATGTACTTATAGTTACCAAGAGCAGAGTCTTTGATTTTGGTCTTCCAAGTGTTAATTCTCTTGTGCTTCACATCATGTTCTCACTGGCTTGATGCGTCTTTGATCCAACAAAGATTGCTGTAGACATCACACAAGGTAGGCGCATGTGGGGACTCCCACCGAAAGGGGGCGTCAAGGGCAAGAAGGGCATGCCAAACCTTCTTGGCTGTCCGTTGGAAGACAACAAGGTCCCCAGTAGATTGGATGGGCCTCTGCAAGCGGGTGAAAAGTTCTGACGACCGCTTGGTTGTGTTATGAAACAGTCGCCCTTTACGTGAAGAAGCGCAGCCACTTGGGAGTTGACCCGGACAGAATTGCTTAGTGACGAAGGATGGCAAACACCCTCGTTTCCTCATACCGAAACCCTGTGTCGGCGCCTTTCCTTCTGTTTTTCTCTAGTCTACTCTATAGGTTTGCAGGTAGGCCCCCAACCCAACCCGAACTTTTCGGCCTCTACCCACTAGCTTGGCCCCTAACTTTGGCTGTCTTGTGTGTCTTGTGTTTCTTGTAGCCTGGTAGCGCTCGCCTCCAACCTGGTACTATGGCCTCCAACCCACACTAGCGACGACCTCCAACTTTGCTGCTTGCATTCACTTTTGTTTTGCTTGTGCATACTACCCACCACCTACTAGCGACGGCCTCCAACCTAAGGTCTTGGCCCCCAACGGCCTCGCGATGGCCTGTGACCAAAAAGCGATGGCCTTTAATCTACTATTTGTCACTTTTGTTTTGCTTGTGCATACTACCCACCACCTACTAGCGACGGCCTCCAACCTTAGGTCTTGACCCTGACGGCCTTGCAATGGCCTCCAACCAAAAAGTGGTGGCCTTAACCTACTGTTTGTCACTTGTTGGTTTGTGCATACTACCTACCACCTACTAGCGACGGCCTGCCCGGATACAGAGCGGCTCGCAGCTGCGAGCATAGGTGGTGGCCTAGGCCGAAAGTACTCAGATTTGCTGACCTAATGAATTCCAAGCTGGCTCATGCCTTTACGTGGCCGCAGCGGTCTAAGCAGCCAGCCACTTTGACAGGGCGCAGGGTGACCGCAGCGGTCAAAGTATTTTTGAGGTTTGTTGGAACCACCCCTTCCGTCTTTGTTTTGTGGGGTGTTCCTGAATGGAATAGCTGGGAACACCTGTCTTCTTCCTTCCCTCTCTCCCTCTCTCTTTCCTTCAGCCCTTCCTTTTTGGTGTGTCCCTGGACGTTTGTGTCGTAGCTGGGAGCACCTTCGTTTCTTCCTTTCTCCCCCTTTCTTCTCTTCCTGTTTTTCCCCTCTTCTCTCGCGCGCGGCGTGCTTATAAGCAAACCAGGCTTTGCGACAGGTTTCTCAATGAGGTTTGGTCTGTCATCGGTTTGTCCCCTTTCGCCCCCACAGACGTCTTCCCTTCTTTTCTTTCATGTCCTTCTGTCTTCGTGTCTCTTCATCGTCGTCCTTTCCTTTCGTCCGGACCTTAGCTTGTACACATACACGCGCGCGTATTCTACTTACAACTAGGTTCAGGTGGCCCAGGTTTGTTACAATGAGGTTTGGCTCATCGGTTGTCACTTTTCACTTGGTTCTTCTTCATCGGCAACCACACACACTTTTTGTTTGTCCCACCACCTACTAGCGACGGCCTCCAACCTTAGGTCTTGGCCCCCAACGGCCTTGCAATGGCCTCCGACCAAAAAGTGATGGCCTTCCAACCTACTATTTGTCGCTTTTGTTGGTTTGTGCATACTACCTACCACCTACTAGCGACGGCCTCCAACCTTAGGCGTTGACCCCCAACGGCCTTGCGATGACCTCCAACCTAAAAGCGATGGCCTTTAACCTACTATTCGTCCTGGTACCCAGGAACTGGTAACCTAGGCCGGCGTGTGGCACCGCATTCACATCAGTGCGCATTTCTATAAGTAAGTGTGTGTGTGTGTGTGTGGGTGGGTGATATTTGGTGACGAGTTCTCTGGATAGAGACAGGACCTAAATAGTGTGCTGTCACAATCATTGATTCATAGATTGGATTGCCCAGACTACACAAGCTCCTTCGGAGAGTCTCCTATATGGCACTGGTTTATGGGGTTCCTCCCTAGTTGAACTCCCATTCAAAGGCATTTGGCAACTCACCCCATCGGGGTGCCATGGTCTTTTCGCACCTCCTGGGCGCCCCCCAACGGTGCTGGGTGTCTGAAGCCCGCCGGGAGCAGTGGGTGACCGGGGCCTGGGGTCGGGACCCGTCAGAACGGCGCTGGGTGCTCTACTGGCGCTGGGTGTCTGGGCCGATCCGGAGGCAGGATCCGGTGGGGGTGGGTGGATGTGTTGATGCGCTAAGCCTCCCTGAAGGAATCATGGTGGGGTGGAAAACCATCGGTTTTGTGGAGGAAAACGGCCATGTTCTACTTCCATGTTTGTTGGAGGGAGGGTATCTCCAAATTCGAGCACCACGACACCCTAGGAGCTGCGTAGACATTTCTGTTTCAGCCACCTGTTCGCAGTGATGGACACCAAACTTGATTGAAACAGCTCAGCCCTGGGCACTGCTCATATAAATGGCTATATATTCCATCTTGATGCACAAGTGCGAAAGTGTTGCTCAAGCAAGACTCGCAAGACATACACCTGGTTTCTCAGCCAGAAAACTGGAATCTCTTCACTTGGACCTCTTCAGCCTCAAAGATCATCATTTTTACAGAGGTCCTGAAACCCGCTGTGGCCTTTCGTTCGGCGCCCTGTTGAGGTGACAGAGACCAAAGAGACCATTGTGCCTTTCGAGGTGGCGACGACCCTCCGTCTCGCGTCGACGGGCCCGACCGCGGTCCCTCCCCACGGAGCCCGCAGTTCACCGAAGGAAGGGCGGAGCGATGCAGGGCGGACCCCGAGACGCGGCGCCGGCGGAGCGAGACGCGCCGGCGGAGCGAGGACGCAAGGGATCGCGAGGGGACGCTTGAATTGCAAGGATCCTTTCCGAATCCTTCTCCCAAAAAAGGATCACTTGAAGCGACAATGGCAAACAGTGATCCTTCTTCCATCCACTTTCCCATGTTGTATGGACTTTTGTCCGAGCCGTGGCGAGAGCAGCCAGGTCAGCGGTTTGAGCTCAGACATTTGCACTGGTTCGAGTCTGAGTGCATACACCTGGATGCAAGAGCTTGTTAGATCTTGGCTTCTTCAAGCTTACTTTCGGAACGCCGCACGCCACCGTGGAGGGAAAAGAAAAAAAACAACGATCCGCGGGACAACGGCGATCCGCGGGACAGACTGCGATTTCGTGACTCTAAGGTCAAGTGCTGGAGCAGTGGTTTTGCCATCGAAATATGCAGACCAGGCGTGCAGACCGACGGCCACTTGTGTGGTCGCGCCGGCCGCTCGGTGGTGGTGTTTCGGCGAACGGTTTGGCCTGGACCGTTCGTTTGAAGGAAGGGCGGAGTTTTGCGAAGGCCATTTCTGAGATGGACCCACAATTTCCCAGCAGGCACTAGCTGCTACCGACTGCTACCTGCCATTTTTTTTGTTCCCAAACTGGTGTGGTCCGCGCATTTTTCAGGTCCCAATGAACTGAGACCAAGCAGCCGGGACCAGGCCCCGCCGCTAGGCGCCGCTAGGCCTTTAACCGATCCGCTGCCCAAGCGGATCGGTTTTTCCTGGGTGCCCACTTACCACTTTACATCACTCTACCCTTTGCTGAACCATGAAGAACCTGCCAAAGCTGGCTAAACAAGATGAGAGCCTCCTGATGTTGTGCTCCGTTCATGTCCACGTTTCTTCTTTTTGAACACGTTTTTGCGATTCCTGCCGTCGCAGGTGTTGTTCCAGTCATGGCCGTGTGAAGCCTTGCCGGCAAGTCCACTGTGGCGCACCTGGCCTGCTTTTGGCCCCCAGTGGTGGCTGGGTGTTCGATGGAAGATGGGCGCTGAGAAGCGCCACGGAAGCATCAGCAGAGGACGCATGGACCATCATGGACCCCCCTGAATGAGTCTTCCCTCCAAAAAACGGATGAGTTTTCGCCTGATTCTCACCCAACTCCGGGAGCGATTCTGAGACCTCCAACATTTTTCTGTTTCTTCAAAGGGACCATTTTCATCCACTTTCCACTCCCTTGATTCTTTTCAGGGAGGGTAGTGACTGGTGGTGGATATGGACCAGAAGCAGCGTTTTGGTGCCCATGCGTGCCGCTTGGCCAGTCATGGGCTGCGTGAACGGCATTTGCGTGCCGCCGGGGACCTCGGAGGAATCGTAGTGAGTTTCCATATGTTTCTATAACAGCCGCTGTCCGCCGCAGGTTCCGAATGAGTGGTTTGTTAGCAGAAAGCCGGGCCCTCCAAGTCTTGAACATCTTATGTTCAGGGCACATCTGTTGTTACTTGGAGAGTCGACCGCTGAGTTTGGATCCCGATCCTTCGCGACTCCCGAGTGGACCTTCCCCGCGGCTTCCGCCCGCGTCGCGCGCAGCCCACGAGACGTCCAGACGTCCAGACGCGGCGGAGCGCCGTTCGACGCCCCAGGCGCCGGTGACGGCGGAGCAAGTGACTTCCGGGCGACCCAACGAGCTCACCAGATCGGAAGCGAGATCAGTTTCACCCCCGGACAGGGACAGAGATCCGGCTCGGAGGTGCAGGGGGATAACCAGGCGGTTTTCCTTGGGGCAGTTGGCATGGCATTTCATGGATATTTTTGCTCAAAGAGCGAAAAGATGCCGACTTCTGGTGTATGTCAAGCGAGATGGCCGTCTCTTCGTAATGGCTCCATCCTGCACTTCTGAGCTGACCTGTACAAAGCGCTGCTCTGAGTGAGGACGGCTCAGACAGCTTGAAGGGCTCGGGAAAAGAGATCCTTTTTCCCTTCCTTTTTCCCTTTTTCGAAGAATCGGTAGATGGATGTCGTTGATCTCAGATCAGAGCTCAGCACCTTGAATAATTCGTCCGTTTTGCTGCAACATGAAGGCTCTGGAGACTCCAAAGACGGGTTGCTGAGAGCTTGTGGTACATGTCTGACTTGTATCCCAGCTAAACCTCAACAGAGACGGGAACGGGTTGCGTCATTTTCGGGTTTGACACATTCCAGCGGACTTGGTCCAGCCTCCATGCACGACTCAACGCCGCAGAAAGGCTCCGTGCGGCGAACCAAGCGCGGGGTGCAGCTGCGCTGGGCCATTGGCCCGGAGCCCCGCGTCGGAGGTGGAGGAGGAGGATGTTCAAAGCAGTGACTTGTGGACTCTTTCTGGGACCTGGTTTTTACTGGCAAAGGTGATGGAGTCCCACAGCCAGCTTGGAACGTTGGAGAAGGCCAGAAGGCCACTCCGAAGGAAGCACCGGACCTCACGCCTCTGAGCAACTCATGTTTGCTCTTGCTCAGTCATTGAAAGAGCATCCAACAGCACCCATCCCAATTTTTGGCCCAGGATGGCCATTTGCCTTAAATTTGCCTTCACAGAGCGTGGCAGGGGGATTCGTTGATGGGGCTTCTATCCTCCGCAGGCCTTTCCTCTATCATTTCCAAGGCCTTGGTGCCACCGCAGGTGCCGGCGATGCCTTCGCAGGGCTCTCCCTCGCGAGGGCGTGGGGCCCTGCGTGCCCTGCGCGGCAGGGGGTGACAGGCGCGGTAGGGTTGGAAGGGGTGGTGGAAGGGGCAGCTGGAAACATTCAAGATTGCTCAAGTTCAAGCAGTTTTGCTCTCTTGGCTGCCGCAGGTAGCCTACACGGCGTCCAATGACGAACACGTAATTAGCCCTCGTGTGGCTCGAAGTGCTTCTTCCTCCCGGCCGCACGATGCCCGTGTGCAGGGCTGATGAGTGCTTGGCCATCGGTGAGATGGCCCGAGGAAGACGAAGAGCACTTCTTCAACTTCACCCGCTACGGTACGGCGCCCCGTGTGATTTCTGGCGGCTGCAGGCGTAGGTGGTGTTGAAGGCTCAGGTTGGATCAAAGCACCGAAAGCCAGGGGAAGGTGGACTTGTTGCTGGAGGGTTCTGTTTGGATGACCGGATGACCAAAGGTTTGTTGGTGGCATTCAGTTTGCGGCTTGCCAGTCCTTTGGTCTATCATCACGAAGGTTAGTCTGACGCTTCATCCCAAGGCACTCAACTTTCGATTATCACCCCTTTGCAAGTTCGATAGAACACACACTTCCTGTGAGCCTCAAATGCCAGCTTGATTTCTTGACCAGTCCACAGTTTTGGGGACCATTAATTCTTCTGGTTGAGTCAAGTCTAGCAAGTAGGCCTGTATTGCTGAGGCTGGGAATGGCAAGAGCGCTGGAGTGTGGAGGAGATTCTCGGATACCGACATGCGGGAAGGTCGGTAGCGAAGGCTGAAGCGAGTCAAGCCTTCAGATGGGGAGATTCTGGGAAAATTGTCGCCTGAGATTTTCTAGGTTGGTGAAAAGTCTGCGAAGTACTACCAGTAGCTGTTCCATGCTGTTACACCGAGTTACACCACATTTGCTATCCAGGACAAAAACCTAGCAGTGATTCTTCCGCCTCCCAGCGAAGGTTTTGAATGATGCCCCCGGACTACTTGGTGACGACCATGACAACGAGAGGAATACAGGAGAGTTTGTGACTCTGTTGGATTCTATGGTTTTCTTTGTCGCGCGGCCAGCGTTTGTCCAAATTCTTCTGGCAGCAAGATTGGGTGGTGTTCGTTCGCGCGACACCTTTCATTGGGTTCTGTCCAAGATGAGGCAAGAACCAGGACTTGTCCAGTCTGAGAGCTTCCAACCCGCCCAACCTCTGTACTTCAACCTCTTCCCAACCAGCCCCGTCCGACGTTCGAGGAATCTCATGAGTTTGGTCCGAGCGACGGGCTTGAATTGCATCAAGCCGCCCGGCGGACGGCGAGGGTCTTTCGCTTGCGGAGGGTTCGAAGAAAAGAAGACATCTGTCTACGCGAGTGAGCTGTTGTAGGCGATTCCAGGAATGTTTTGGTTGCAAGATGTTTAAAGAGGAAAGAGATGAGCTTTTGTGAGTATGCCAAACCCAGGTTCAAAGGATACATCGGAGGCCATTGCAGTGCGGTGCTATGCAGGCGACTGGTGCAAGTATTACTGTAAATGGCCCAGTTAGGCAAAGTCCAGTTGACACTTTGCTGATTTGTTCAAGTAAAAGGATCAGGGCTTTCAAACAAGAGTTGTTTGATGCAAATGATCCTACCCAGTCTGTCCGCATTACTAGCATCACCGCCAATTCCTTCAATAATAGTTGAAGATTCCTTGTCACACAGCCAGCACCGTATTCAATCATTATGGCGAATTAATCCAGGAAGCAAAAGCATGGAGATTTGGCATGCAATTTGGGTTCTTGAACGTGACAGACACAGCATGTGCTGGTCTTTCCTCACCGGGATGCTGCTTTGAAAAGGCCGATCGAAGATGGCTTGGAGGCGAGGGCTGGGACGAAGACTGGTGGGCGAAATATGAGCCAAAGGGCTAGCTACACTTCATTCAGCTGCACATCTGGTGCACTATTTCTTTTTAGGGAGCAATTGAGCTGTGAGGATCGTACTGTACTATACCGCCGAAGAGGTTTGGAAGAGAATGGACATCAGCAACAGGTTTCCAGCTCTTGTTTTCATCTGGGCATGCAGACCACGATCGTTATGGTGCCAGGTGGTTGCCAGATTGAGTTGAGCCTGGTCATGTTACCATGTTTTTCGAACGGCAGACCCAATGGGGACACATGGGGACACATTAGAACGGCATGGTGACATGACTTTTCGAACGGAAGAGATGCCTGGATGCCTGCCAACCTTTGTAACTGGTCCAGGTCGTTGGCCTCGGCATCAATGTGCCAATGCCACAGGCCAGGATGGGAGTGGTCTACCTCCCTTGTTCGTCCCTGGGTGAGGGACGGAAGACCTCTCCATCACCTGAAATGATTTGCTTGTGAAAAGTTGGATCCAGTCGGAAATCGGTTGGCTTTGACTATAGTCGTTACTCCACACTTGCGACGGGCCACCGAGACTGCCTTGCGGCCCCTGAAGAGGGTGTAGTCTTACTGGGGTCGAAGGAACATTCTTTTGTCTAAGAAGGACTTCAGAAATTGCGGCCAATCACGGCCTGACCCAGCTTGGTCCCAAAGAAATTGCCTCCAAGTTGAGCTGGAAAAAGCCGCAGGCGTTTGCCAGCAACGAGGAATCTAGGCCAGAAACAGTCTGACGGGGTGCAGACTAGCCGGGGCTTGCGCTTATCACAGCAGCACAACACAAGGGTCCCCCAAACCTGATTCTGCTCAGGGTGATTGTTGGGTAATTTTCCTGGTGGGTGAATCCCCAAGAGAGTGGATGGAGTTCACCTTCAGCTCAAGCGGGAGAGAAAGATGGAGGTGAAGGTTTTTGGTGCTCAAAGCGAACCAGGGTCTGAAATACGGCCGGGTTTTCTCATTAAAACAGGTGATCAGTTTGTAGATATGTTGATCATGGTTGGTAGATACCAAATTCAAGGGTTTGAAGTGTATTGTGTATGGAAACATGCTCGGAAGGAAGGCCACTGTTCAACAAGCTTGGCCTTCCTAGCAGTGGCCTTTGCGACGCTCGCGCCTTCGCTTTCTGGTGGGCCCGGCGGTCCCTGCACCATCAAGCGTCTCAAAGGAAGGCAGAGATATGACAAAGCAAATCGAGAAGCAAGCTACTTTGCCGACCCTTTGCGCGCTGGCAGCAGGGCCACGCCTGAGCTTGGCGACAAAGCGAAAGAAGATCAAGTGGCAACAATCTCCGACTGGACAAAGCTGCTCAAAGTCAAGGAGCCACCGCGAGAGGGAGCTACTGGAAAATGGTTGAAGTGCGTCCACCCGTCCACACGCCATTGCCTTCAATTTCCTTTGTGCCAGTAGCTGTGCTATTTCCAAAAGCCAGCAACAGGTGAAGCTGATCGATGTCGACGCTTGTCAGCCAATAGATACTTTGAAGCCACATTTGCAGGAACACTTGAGCATGCTCCGGCCGATCATGCTTCGAAGGATGAAGCTGGATTAAGTTCAGCTACAAGTGTTGGACTTCTTCGCTCTAGGCAGGGTTTTGCTAATTATATACAGAGGGAACAGTCGGAACTCTAATCGCATCCGCGCATGCCAACACGTGAGTGACGTGATTGACCAAGATTGTTGACACTTCCCGTGTAACTCAAGTTGCGCCCGGCGTTCGATCCACGATGTACCTTTCTGTGCTGATCGCGCGTGATACTGAAAGCTGAAAATAATTTGCATGACGCTCGCTGATCTCCACAAGATTTTGAAGGGTTTACGCGGTGGATGATGCGGAATGCGCCGCCCGCGGCAAAGTCTTGTTTGCTTGAAACACGTTTTGCATGGTCGTGGATATCGATTGACACTTTCTTCGCCGGAATGTCACCATTATGACCTCACACGAATCGCTCTAGGCTTTATTCTTGGGGCAGGTCTACTGATCCTTATGGCCTTTAGCTCATATCTAGCATTTTTTTTTGCTTGGGCTCTTTGTTTTTTGGGTGAAGACAACATTCAACAGCATAGGCATGAAGAAGGCCACAGCTTGAGATATTTCCACTTGACCAGTTTCATGTTGCGATGTTTGGCACCGCGGCTGAATGGCCTGCACCGAAACGGTGCCTGTCACTTGGCTGTGGAACACCACGCTGCCAAGCGCTTCGACGCACGAGGCGCCGTGCAGAGGTTCATGCAGAAATGCAGATCTTGTCCCGGTGTGCCAGGCAGTACCTGTGTGATTTTGGTGGCATGGGTGACACTGGGCATAGCCGCTTAGCCATTCTTTTGGGGGAAGGCTTCGAGATGACCATAGCCAACTGTGAATTATTTCATTGCAGCCCGCAACAAAAACATGTCTTGAGTCATGAGTGTTTTTGAAGTGCTTCCTGATGGCTTGTAGCTCTATCTCCGACGGTTTCACGGTGCTTTTAATTACCGCTCTTGGTCTCGGTTCTCGTGGGTCTCACGTGGCACCGGAGCGGCCGTTCTCCTGACAGGTTTGGCATTTCGACCAACGGTTGTTGGATGTGCATCCAGAGGTTTCCGTGCTGGGAGTGCTGCAAGGCGCCGCGGTCCCGCGGACGGGCGGGGGTGTGAAGGAGGGACCGACTTCGATCTGGGCAGGTGTCGGAGAAAGGAACCTTTGGTCACTCAGGCAGGGGCGGTGATGGCAGTAGACCCGTATGTGGATGATTCTTCAAATGGGGAGGAGTCAAACCCTCGGAGTCCAATCTCGAATGTTTGCCTACTAAGCTACACTACCTGGAGCCCAACTGAAACAACTGGTTCTAGTTTTCCTATAGAATCGCCATGAATCGACCAACGATCCATTGCAGCCGCTGTGGGGGTCCCACTTTTCCACCCGCAGACGAAGACACATTACGAAGACACATTCAAGCACAGCCACCTCTCCTCCCGCAATGTGAAGACGATTTCCGCAGACGAATTCTCCGAAGACGAATTAGACCCCGAAGACGAATTAGACCCTGAAGAC